AAAGACGGCGGCGACAAAGCCTATTTCAATAACAAGTTGAAGCAAGACGATCACTTAGCAGACAATGCTATCTGAGTACTTCTCATGATAGACTTGATCAAATAAGATTACAATCTGAGAAACGATAAAGTAAAATAATTAATTAAACGGTTCATTTGGCCCAGGAACTAATTTCATCTCGATGCAGATAAATATTTTATTTGTATAGATTGTTAAAACGACGAAGGGAAGTAAACGTAAATTTAATAGTTGATTTCTCCCCCCTTCCAGATAGAAGAAAAATAAATAAATACACTGGAAACATATAAATAAATACTTTTGATAATTATTATATGTTTTGATTGTTACCGCGATCATGTAAATATAAAATTTGTTTATGCGACCCTGGTAATATTACAATGGATACTGTGATCTTGGTTACGATATGAAAATTGTTACCGAGGGCCTGTTGATATGACAATTGTTACGGTTACCGTTACCATTTCATTTGTTACGTTGATCCAGTAAAATTTACAGTTGTTACCGTAACGCTCTTTTTATTACAACTGGTCGAATTACCCGCACATTACCTTGCTGCGTGTTCTGGAAGAAAATGATGATTGATTTTGAATAATTATTATAAATTGTGGAGAAAAATGTTACATTTCAATATTAATCAATGATCTTGTTGATGTGACCTCCATCTTCTGGCTTTCTCATTCTATATTTTGGATAGAAGTCATTCCTTTGTTCAAATTTAAATTTGATTTAAATCAAAGGGGAAAAAATCAATGGTGGGGGTTGTACCCCCGTGGACCCGCTTTGATCAAAATGAAATATACCTATCCAAGAACCCTAGGATTCATTCCTTTGTTCAAAATTAAATGTAATTTATATCAAAGAGAAAAAAATTCAGTGGGGGTTTTGTGCCCCCGACCCGGCACCCCGTATGATCAAAATGAAATATACTTATCCATCTCCCCTGGGTAATGTAGTTTCAGAATATATATGGTTATGGGGTGGAGTTCTATCTCCAAAACACTAGGAGGAGTTCAATAACAAACAAAAAGACAGACAGAAGCTACAACTTTATATATCTATAGATTGGTAACATGGACCTGTTGGTATAATAATTGTTACTGCAACTATGGTAATATCACAATAGTTACTGTGATGCTTTTTTATTACAATTATTTTTGGTACTCTGACACTGTTAATACCAAAATTGTTATAGACACGCTGTTAATATTACAATTGTTACAGAGACCATGTTAATATTTAATTTTTATTTCTTTACCGTGACTCTGTTTATATTACTATTGTCACCATGACTCCCTTAGTATTACAATAATTTCCGTGAACTGTTTATACACTAGCGTGCAAAACTTGTGTGCCACTATGCTAAATAAATGACTTTTGATAATGTAACTGCCAGATCGAGAGAGAATAGCAGTATAGTTTTCTCAGTAGGTTTTATAATCTTTGAGGTCCACAAAACAAGTTCCACATTTTTGTTAATGCTGTATGGTGGAAAATAGGAGGAGGCCATGCAATTATTTTGGTCCACCACAGACAAAAATCAATTTTCAGCTCTTTTCTTAAGTTATGTCGAGAAAATCTCAACCGCCCACAGAAAGTCCAGAGACGGTGCAGTCCGAGGAAAGGAGCAAAAGTACTTACCTTAATTTGCGAAAAAATATTTCCTTTCACGACGTAGCTTAATCGTCTGATAACTTGCATTGAGTTACAAGAATAGCAATGATAAGTAGGAAAAAACTCCTTTATAACCACTTCAGAGATCACGTGGTAGCAAGATACGAGAGCCTTAACTATAAAAAAATAGTTAAAAGGTAACAACTCATAGTCAACAAAAAGCAACAACCTAGGAAAGTACATTACTCCTTCCTCCTTCTGAGCCGTCAATTTCTCCAGTTTATAAATTTATGAATAAAAAAATTGTTTTCATATTTATTTCTTCATATTTTGGCAAACAAATACAACCTGGTACCAACGTAGGCTACGTATCTCGGTTGGCGAACCTCCACTCAGGGCAGATGAGGGTCACTTACAACAGCAGCACATCACCTAGAAAATAAGAATAACATTCCGAATAATCTAAATAATGCAGGTTATCATAATACGTCATTTCTCCAAATCAATCATTCGCCCTTGCATGGAGTATTGCAGCCATATATGGTCTAGAGCCCCGTCTGTTTGTCTCAAGGTCCTTGATAAAATCCAAAGACGGATATGTAATATAATTGACCCTGATCTTGCATCTCGTCTGCAGTCGCTCTCCCACAGACGTGACGTTGCCTCCCTGTGTCTTTTTTTTCAAATACTGCTCCGATGAACTGCTTTCGTTGGTTCCCAGACTTCATGAATTTAAGCGTTCAGCTAGGCTGGCATCTCGCTCTCACCCTTTCACTGCCGAAACTGTTAAATGTAGCCGTCTCTTTTACTCCATTAGCTTCATGTCTCGCACTTCTCACCTGTGGAAATCCCTCCCCATTTCTTGTTTCCCTGATAGCTACAATCTCCAACTATTCAAATGTAATGTCAATCGACGTCTCCAGATCTCATGACCTTTCCCCTATCCTTCTCTTCATCCTTTCCTCTATCACTCCTATTTACTCTCGCTCCAACTCTCTGTAACCCATTGCGTGCTAGTGGCTCCCGCCTAGCTTGGGGTGGAATGCTTAAAAAAACATAGATATTAAAAGAAAAGGTGTACAGAAAAGGGTTCGATTCGAAATTTCAATCACCTGAAAAAGGCTAATGGCCGAAACGTTGTGAATATGGCGATAAGGATGGGGATAACAGTCCGATTAATGTAAATAATGCATGTAATCATAATACCTCATCTCAGAGATATAGACAGATATTGAAGAATAATTCCAATCACGAGAAGAAGACCGGCGCGTACAACGGCTGAATCGTTGTGAATATGGCAATGAAAATGAGAATAACAGCCCGAATAATGTAAATAATGTAAGTAATCATAATACCTCATCTCAGAGATCCAATCACCTGAAGAAGGACGGAGTGTACAACGGCTGAATCGTTGTGAATATGGCAATGAAGATGAGGATAACAGTCCGAATAATGTAAATAATGCAAGTAAAATTAATTATATATCGTTTTCCGGAAACATTTGCACGACAGTGTATTACAATTGTTCCTGTGATTATGGCAATATTAAAGGTTGTTTCTGTGACTCTGATAATATTACAATTGTTTCTCCGGGCTTCTTAATATTACAATTGTTACCGTGACATTGTTTATATAACAAACAATTCTGTTTATGATACACTCGAACATGCAACACTCCTTGTGCTGAAATCTTAATAAATATCCATTTGTGCTTTCATTTTCAGTCAAGGTTAAAGACTTAATGGTGCTATATCTGCTAGCCGAATGTCCACCATACAAAAAAGAAAAAGAAAAAAAGATTGTCATAGAAGCTCTCGTTTCTCTCGAATATTTCTGTATATAAAAATAAAGTTTCTTCAAGACATCTCTTTTATAAAGATCTTTCATTTTTTTCTTTTATGTCCTGCGTCCCTTCAGGACGTAGCCGATCATAGCTCTCCACTTCTCCCTACCCTTTGTAGCTCTCAATAAGTTTTGTCCCCTTGCCACCTCCTCCAGACCATGGTCTGTCAACCACTTGCTTAAGTCCGCTAGGTATGTCATGCGTTGCTTTCCCTTGTCTCTCTATTTGACTTGTGGGTATCAGATTCTCCATGCCCTTCTTTCTCATTATGTGTCCCAGAAATTTCAGTTGCCTCTTCCTGATGTTAAGTATAAGCTTCCTTCTTGTTTGCGTCCTCTTCAAGACCTCATCGTTGCTCACACGCTCGGTCCATGGTATTCTCAGCATCCTTTGTAGAACCACATCTCTGTTGCCTCGAGTCTCTTCTTCATCTTTGAGGAGACCGTCTAAAAGGAGGAGAGATGTTAAGTAGCAGCTCAGAATTTTTTGTTTTTTCTTTGTCGCCATGATAGATTTTGAATTTCGCGCCTGCGCGCTGTTTCGTTTTGATTTTGGAGAGTATAGTAGGGTCAGTTGGGCATCGATTGTGAGAAAAACAGCAACATGATGCAATTCACTCCACTAGAAATTTGGAAACGGCATGCTGTGTTGCTTGGCATTCGCGCCGGAAGCGTCAATACAAACACTTCAGAGTGTTTGGGTGTCAATCTGAGGATTCAGAAAGCGATGGATGAGACTAATGGTGATTCCGAAGGTGTTTTGAGTCATTAATAGTGATGACGACGTTATGCCTCCGTTCATCTTGCCACAGAGCCTCAGATTCAACACAGAGGCCTACATCAAGTGCCTTGAGGCGGTAGTACTGCCGTGAGTCAAGTGGGTGGCTACTGCAAGACCCTATGTCTTGCAACAAGACTCTGCACTATGCTACACAAGCAGGAGGATCCAATCATGACAGACAATTTATGAGACCACATAACCCCTTACATCTGTCACCCCTCTTTATGTGGGATTATCATGTGTGAAGTGTGAGAGCAGCACACAAAAACTCCTTGTACCACCAAAGTTGAACTGAAGACAAGGCTTATAGCAGCATTCACCAACGTAAATAAGTAGACGGCCCAAAAGAGATTCAGGAGAAATGCGTAATTTTGACGACAGTTTATCCATCGCATACTGTATTTCCAACGACATCCGTAGCTGAATTTTAGTCAGACAATGTTTTATGTAAACATCTTTACGCTTATATTATTTCCCTCCGTTGTACCCCTGCAATGTTACAATTCTTCGAAAATTTCATGTTAATTGTTCGAATGAGCTCTTCGCTATGTTACCCAGAGCGCTTTTGATTTTAAATGAGGTACTAGGCTGGCGACGATGTCTCTTTAATTTACACTTGACCTGGCCAGATCTAATTGTAAGTTCTATGTTTCTTTTCTTGCCCTTCCCGCTTGTGGAACTTCCTTTCGGCTACATGCTTTCCCGCCAACGTTAATCTGCAGCAATTTAAATGCAATGTCAATCGCTATCCACTGTCATCCTGATTACTCTTCTTTTGTACGCGCCTCTGTGGACATGAAAATGAGACTAACCTCAGTTCTCGGCATAAGAGGGTTCGTTTGTGTCTGGCGTGTAGGGCAGTAATTGGTCCGAAGAAAGAAACACCACCATTACGGTGAGTCGGACTTATGGAAACGCGATCTCGTAGCCGCGAGGATTGGCGAGAGGAGAACTTGGGCGTATGCAAATTGGTTGGTGTTCGCTGGGATAAATGTGACGGCGGGAGACCACTCGAGACAGTTGTGTGTAGCGAACTACGAGGCGGTGTTGGAACATTTGAGTGCAAAGATCTGTGGAGTTGTTGTAGCTGGATTGTAGCTGTCGTTAAGCTGAGGAGTGTTTCCAGAAGTAGGCGGTGCCGGGCCAACCCGTTCCCGTCCTATTGTTTGGACCTAATTTTACGAGACCAACCCGTTCCCTTCCTATTGTTTGGACCGAATTTTGCGACAAGCTATTTCGGCATAATGGGGGACAGATTCGACCTGAAATTGATTCCGGAGTTCGATGGCTCAACCCCGGTACTTGACTGGGTGGAAAAAGTGGAATTGCATTGCCTCTTGTCTGGCATAATGAGCATTGAACATGTGATTCCTCTGCGGCTGTCTGGCGGGGCTTTCGCTGTGTATCAACAGCTCAGTGCTGAGGAAAAACAGGATTATAAGAGAATCAAGGCAGCACTATACAAGGCGTTTGCTATCGACCCCGCCACTGCATGGGAACAATTCGAGGCAAGAACTTTACTTCCAGGCGAAACTGTCGACGTGTATCTGGCCGAGCTGACGAAGTTGACGGTGTTGTTCTGTGGACTGCCCGAGCGGGCCTTGGCATACAAATTTCTGGCAGGGCTCCCAACCGGAGCAAAGCAACTCCTGCGAGTGAGCTTAAGCATAGACTCGTTGTCCCTTAATGACCTGGTAGACCGGGCCAGGACCGTGATGAAAGACAGCTCTGAGGTGAGAGAACCGGTAGTCGCCGCTGCACAGTCCACGCCGAGTGATGGTAGACCGTATCAGGGGCCCAGCCCCCGTAGTGGGGTCGTATGTTATAGGTGCTGTGGCCAGGGCCACATTGCGAGGAACTGCAGGAGGCGACTGACAGCTGTTCGCTGCTACCGGTGTAATGAGACTGGACATATGGTCCGGGATTGTGCGGGAAACGGGGCCGGGGACAAGGTGCCAGCGTCGACCTCTTCCCCAAGCAGAAATTAGATGAGGCGCTTCCGATCATCCAGGTCTACATTAATGAGACATTGTGCTCAGCACTTCTCGATTCCGGTTGCTCCCGCACCATAGTGTGCGCGGACCTCTGCCGCACTTGGAAGAAGAAGAGTGTCAGGGTGACCACCATCAGTGGAGAAACACGAAGGTGTTGCGGGGTAGGCGCGGTGAACATCCGTACAAGAACTGGAAACTCGGCCAACATCGAGGCGCTAGTAGTGTTCGAAAAACCACTGAGTTTTGACCTGCTTCTAGGCTATGATGCCATCAGAGCTTTAGGTGGTGTTCACATAACGCAGACGGGGGCAGTACAGTTTCAGGAGAGGGCCCCAGGGTGCGCAGCTCTGAGGATCGACCAGCCGGACTTTAGTGTCGAATTTGACCAGCAGCAGAAGACTTGGACCACCTCATGGAGGTGGTCGGAAAACCAGGAACCAGCCAAACTACGGAACGAGGTAGCCGAGTACCATGTGCCCGATCAAATAAGGCCTGCATACGAAGGGAGCTCCGTGAATGGATCTGGGATGGCTGGTTGATTCCTTACCCCTATGAGAAACTTGGACCTCCCAAAGGCCTGATCCCGCTGATGGCGGTTGCACAGCACAACAAAGCAAATGTGAGGCCAGTGATGGACTACCGCGAACTAAACGCGCATGTTGATGCGTTCACGGCAGATGCTGACGTTTGTGCCAGCAAGCTACGAGAATGGCGCCAGCAGGGTTCCAATGTGTCCCTGCTGGATCTAAGAAAAGCGTACCTACAGGTCCGGGTCAGCGAGGCGATGTGGCCGTTTCAGACGGTGGTGTTTGCCGGCAGGAGGTACTGCCTTACTAGGCTGGGCTTCGGGCTGAACGTGGCACCCCAAATAATGAAGACCATCGTCAACGCTGTGTTGTCACAGGAAGAAACAATAAAGAGGGGACATCGGCGTACCTTGATGATATATATGTGAACGAAGACGTTGTGTCGTCATCACGCGTGAGGTCCAAACTGGCTGAGTTTGGTCTGACGAGGATAAGGACCCAGAACGTTTGGAGGATGGTGCCCGTGTCTTGGGCCTGAACGTTCAACAGGAGCGAGAGACCTTAAAATGGGGGCGCGGAACTGCAGTTCCTGAAGTACCCGATGTCTTCACGAGGCAAGCTATATTCTCCCTGTGTGGAAGACTTGTGGGGCATCTACCAGTCTGTGGATGGACTCGTGTGGCAACAGGCACCATAAAAAGAAGGGCAAGCGCAGTCACCAAAGGCTGGGACGATGAAACAACGGACGATCTGTTGGTTCGCATGGTGAAGGAGACCATCGCAAGAGTAAAGCAGGATGACCCCGCCAAAGGAGACTGGTGCGTGCAGGGAGACGAACTGAACGTGTGGGTGGATGCGAGCTCTCTGGCGATTGGTGTGCTGTTGGAGAAGAATGGGGCTGCGATTGAGGACGCCTGCTGGTTGGACCGGTGAATGCTGCTCATATCAATGCTCGATGCGGTGATAAAAGGCATCAACCTGGCAATCCAGTGGAAAGTTAAGAAATTACACATACACACTGATTCGTTATGTGTGTACCACTGGATTGCCAGGTTGATGCCTTTTATCACCGCATCGAGCTCTGCCAGGTTGATATGAGCAGCGTCATTCACCGGTCGCAACCAGCAGGCGTCCTCAATCGCAGCCCCATTCTTCTCCAACAGCACACCAATCGCCAGAGAGCTCGCATCCACCCACTCGTTCAGTTCGAATGAGCTCTTCCCTATGTTACCCAGAGCGCTTTTGATTTTAAATGAGGTACTAGGCTGGCGACGATGTCTCTTTAATTTACACTTGACCAGGCCAGATCTAATTTTAAGTTCTATGTTTCTTTTCTTGCCCTTCCCGCTTGTGGAACTTCCTTTCGGCTACATGCTTTCCCGCCAACGTTAATCTGCAGCAATTTAAATGCAATGTCAATCGCTATCCACTGTCATCCTGATTACTCTTCTTTTGTACGCGCTTCTTAGTAATATTCCTGTTTCTAACTCTTCCACGCCCGGTAACCACTTGTGTCTTTGTGGCTTTAATCCCATACTTGGGGGGGGGACTCGATAAAAAATTAAATAACAGAAAAAGAAAAAGTGAACAGATTCTGCCGTTTTTGAAATCGTCTCATCTTTATGAACTAATAACCCGCTGCTCATACATCCACCAAAGAATTTTTTTAATGCCATATCCCTTCTGGAATTAGGTAACAATAGCTCTCCACAGATTCCATTATTTTGTTTACGCTATTGTTTTCCAATTAAAAGGCGTAAGAGCCACTCAAGTTTGAGACTTACTAAATTGGATTCTTTATGGAAGTATGAACTATATATGAGGATGATATACACAGTATTTGAGGAGGCCAAGATTGTAGTTTCTGCGGAAGAATTATCTTGGGAGTCTTTTCCATAAGGCAGCAACTCTTAGAAAGAAGACGTTCGAATATAATTTCCTTCTTACGAATGCGGATGGTTTGCCACTGTGTACATGACATAGCGTGTCTTAGCTATAAATGTCATGGAAATAGCGATGGAATAGCTGTGTGAAATCGGTTGGAAATAACTCATCACCTGCTAGGGTTGCGTAAACTCTGTTGAGGCTTAAAGGGATGATTGGCCAGCCGCAGCCCTGATATGGCAGCAGTGTTATGTTTTTGGTCTGATCTGACTTTTATAAATAGCATCGTGGGCAGTGTCACATACACCCTTGTGCAACTTAATAGAAACAAAACGAATAATTTCGTTATTATTTATTGTCCTTTCATATTTTTTCAATGAAAACTGATCGGGTGCACATGTTAGTATTTCATATGTCCATACCACGAAGTCGTTGGTTGCAGATTGACCACAGAGTCTCGATTAGATTTAAACCGGGAGAGTTTCCTGGCCAGTACTTTGATCTGATTACTGGTAAAGCTTACCAGTGTGTTCCTGCAGTGTTACACTTTTTGTATGGTCCTTGGATTAACGTCTATCGCAGACAATGGAAGTAGGACAACTAATCGACTTTCGAGACAATAGTGTATGGGCGTGATAAAAATCTAAATGAAAATCACGGTTGACTCAATATTTTTCAAGGCCAAACAAATCATAGATCACGAAAATAGATTCATATTAATGCAAACCACTTCAAATGGCTGAATCTGTGGAAATTGATTACACCCTGTCACTCCAGTGACCAAATGGTGAAAGAAAGGAAATTGAAGCAGTTGTTTCAATTAATTTGCACAAGGTTGCACATAGAACCAATTTTTCAACTTTTTAAGTGATGGGTCGTATATATTGAGTTCCACTTGAAGTCTGGGTAAACTTGAGTCCCCATTGACATTCACTCTAAGCAAGGAACCTCTTTGAGAGTGCAACCATTCATGACTAGAGGAAATCCGAGGTTTGCTCGTTGATGGCGAAAACTTCGTTTTTTTCTTTGAATTACAATACCTTTTTGGAATACTTTCACATTTGTTTCCCCGTAGTTTGAATTTAGAATAGTTTTACTCCTGGACTGGATTCCGTCTAAGGTTAGAGAGACTAGGCTCTTCCGTTATTTAACACATAGTGTGTGGCGGGGAATCATACCTTTCTCATGAGTATTACCACAAACGTGAATGAAACAGTTACGGAACACGAGTCTAAAATTTCATATTTCCCTGACGAGAGATTACATAATGCAAAAAATTCTTGTAGAGCGCCAAAGAGAATAACAACCGAGACGTTTCAACAGAAAAGGAATGAAAGAAAAAATAGATAAATATTAAATTTGATTATATGGAAAATAATGAAAATTACTTTTATTCGTTCAAATTTTCTATTTGAATTTTCTGATGATTGTTTAGTATATTGTTGCTGGTCTCAAATGAGGAGATGAACACATAATAAATATATAAATATCTTTATTGTTTGAGTTGCGGCGAATGGGTAGAGTAGGGGAGAATCAAATAGGGTAGGATTGCGCGCACTGGAATTGACGAAGCCAAATCTTCGGTGAACATCTATACAGCCTCTGTGTCCAGATCAAGAATCGGACAGGTTAAATAACATTTGGACACCTACGCTACTTCATGTGACTTTTCCTTCTTCTAGTTCCGGCATGCGCCCGCGAAAGCACGTATTTCCTTCTGCTCAAGTCACCTGTGTATCCTGTTTATTTTAGGCTCACGACCAGTGCGCGCTATTTATTTTAGCCACCAGATGCATTTCCTGTTTATGCTATCATCACTTTCGATTTCCTCCCACACATACTGAAGCAGTGGAAGTAAGCCCAAAGGTCTTTCCTCAAAAGATATCCAACAATTGAATAAACTCCTTTTGAGGTCTACGGCGATGGAAATTCCACGATTAAAGTTTTGCGCTCAACAACTTCATCTAAACAATGAAATAGCAACTATAAATATGAATACACAAGCAAGAGTGTATAAATGAAAAAGATGTTAAATGTATGGAGGCGTTTGTTGCCTTCTCTATCTTCTCTTTCTCTTTCTTTTTTCATATATTTTTTCATCCTTTCTTTCACTGAAATCAACAATTGTCTTAAACTTTCTACGCATTTGAACCGGAATAGCAGGGCAGGGTGACACGTGCGTAGTAATTAAGGAGCGAAGGAAGATGCAGAATAATTATATGGCGTTTAGCATGAATACCTGATACAATTTACTGTCTCTTAGAAAGTTTCAAATCAGATTTTCTGTTCTCGCTCTTGACACTGTTTTATTTTTCTAATGTGAAATCTTTTCCTTATCAGTTGTACACGTTAAACTCATTTTCTATTTGAGCAAAACAGGGAAGGTCAGCCTTCTGTTTTCTGTCATCTATGAAACCACTCCTTGAGACAATGTCCATGCAAGCGAAGGAACGACATATGCAAATTGTCAGATTGAATTAGTC